GGGATACTTTGAGATATCGAAAGTTAATAACGAGCTAAAACTCTCATCTGATGGGGAACAGACAGTGGACCCTAGAGCATGGTCATGGGCACCATAAGGGCTTCTTCTAAGTTTTCATTTTTAAGCTTCAGTTTTGTTCTCATGACTATAGATAAGAGTCAGACCTATTACGACAATTTCGCTCATCTTTATAATCTACTTTAATCAATCTTTAAAAACGTCTGTCTACCTTGTAGATAGCCTTCTTTTAATTTTAAAATAATTCTCATTAATATTTTCTTTCATTTTCCCCTGAAATCTTCTGCAGGGCAAAACTTCTGTAAGTATACATACGTAAGCTAAGTTACCTAATAACGTACGACCTTCTTCTACAGGGAATAGAAGTATTCAGCGATTGGATTGCCTGTGTCGTGCATTAACCGAAGGAGGGGCTGGTTCGATTGAGGCTACGCTACTTCCTTTTGGTAAACACAGGAAACCCAGTCGCTGAAATACCACTATTCCCTGGCATGGAGAAGAATACAGTAAATAAGACTATACTTCTCTGACTTTTAGGCTATATAATCTCTCTTAATATAAAATTAACTGAGGATAAAATACTTTTAATGGGAAAGCTTCTTCTCAAGTCCGCGTTTGCATCGTGTATTCAAAATCATATTTACTTTAAAAATATGGACCTTTTTCATGCGGCAGCCATGTTGAATTGAGCAATAGATTCCACCACGCGTAGCCTCAAATTCAAGCGCTTGAGAATGAATTTATGCTGGGGAAACAAAGGTTTTTATTCTCATGAGAATAAACATGGCCGCCGTGTGATAAAGGTGCCATTTGCATACAAACCTCGCCTTTAGAGCCCGTGCTCCTACTGGTCAGTTAACTAGTACGCTGATCTCGAGGAACGCAGGTACTATCCAAGCTTTATTCTAGTTATTTAGAATATATCATCCAGCTGATATGAAAATTTGCAAAACTGATATGTTTTGAAATCACGGATTTCGATTCCAGGTCATCAAATGAAAAAAAAAATAAAAATAAAAATAAAAAAAAAGAAAAAAGAAAAAGAAAACGCTGCTAATACATGCTTGATAATAGTGAAACCACAATTCATGAGATTTATTTATAAAATAATTGGGATACTACGCGCGCTAAGATTGGTCGAAAACCATGTTTGATGGGAGTATCAAAACACGCTATCGTCATTTTTAATCTATCGCGCGCGCTCATTGGTCAGTTTGAATAAGACGGCACGTAGAGAGAATTTACTTACACTTTGCTTTTTTTCGATCTTTTCGCGCGTTTGTTATTTTATAAAACAAATCAAAAACAGTTTTCTGTGTTTGATACTCTGATCAAAACACTTGGGATATTAGGAGAACACTCGAGAAGCTGGAAACCACTCCGCTACGCGTCGTGGTTTCCTACGCTCCTCTCGTGTTCTCCCAACATCCCGCGTGTTTTCCTGGTTTTTATTCTATTTTCGCTGGTCAATTTTGCAGGCTTCATGACACAACAGTTTTGCAGTGACGTTATTTCTACGTTACTATTTAATATCAGCTGGATATTATAGACTTGAGAATTTCCAAAATGACGAATTAATAATTAGCTATATACATTATAAATCTCGGCTTTGCAAATCGCGCAGAAGGTCGGGTCGATGGGGAATAGCATTAAGAATGTGCCAACACTGTTAATCATCATATTCATCTTTGTTTCCATAGCCGGTAGCATTTGTAACCTTCGAAGAAAAAACTGACGCTGAAGAGGCTAAAGAAGAACTACAGGTATGATTTGGCTACGTGTGTTCTTTCGAGAAGATAGCACTGACAGTCAATTAGATACATTAAAAAAATTTTTCCACTCCTTGTTTTGTTCCCTACGCTGGCTATCAAGCACATGGCTGTCAGTGTTTGTCTTTTATTGAAGGTTGATACACGCGTGACGACCGACACTAAAAACGGATGCGAGGGAGACTAATTGACACCGTGCAATAAAATACTCTTTGGTTGATAGCACATGACGGGCAGTGTTTGCCTGTCATTGTAGGCTGGTAATGAGATTCATTCAGCTAATTGACACCGGGCCATAAAATACTCTATGCTTGATCCTGATGCTTGATAGCACACGATGGGTAGTCTTTGTCTATTGAGATTCATGGGATTCATTCATTTGAAGCACTGAGCAATGAACAATATATCTCTTTGAAATGTGTGGCTAATCTACTTGTTTTTTCATTTCCCCCCAGGGTGTTCGGTTTGATCCGGACGTGTCCCAGACCCTCAGACTAGAATTTGCTAAGTCCAACACCAAAGTCAACAAACCAGCAAACAGGAATTCTGTCTTGACATCCGGGATGCCGTACACCCCACACAAAGAACCAGTCAGTAAGTATTACAGTGTGCATGTGTCGCTCTGTCTGTCTGTCTGTCTGTCTGTCTGTCTGTCGGTCTGTTTGTCTGTCTGTCTGTCTGTCTGTCTGTCCATCTGTCTGTCTGTCTGTCTGTCTGTCTGTCTGTCTGTCTGTCCGACCTGCTATACTAATATTATATTTTTTGTATGGCCGCCCTGTTTTCTGCTTCTTTAGCAAATGCCATTGACGCTAGTTTTATTCCTTTGTTTTACGTGTAATTWTTTTTTTTTTTACTTTATTCCAATTTTGCTATGTTTTTCATTTACCTTATTTTCTCCCTCATTATTTTCAACTTTTTAGTGACGCCAGATTATTTTGGTACCAGTTTTTTTCCCGTGCAGGAGCCAAATCTTCCTTACCAGGGGTGAGTGAGTACCTTTAGCTTTAGTTGGGATCCCTGTGGTCTAGACACACGTTGTCAATAGATATATTAAACAATTATATGTATGTGATAAGAAGTAAGAGAGACTGCAACAAGAGAGGAGAGGGGGAAAGTAGGAATTCCAAGTTATATTGCCCTTGGGCTGCATCATGCGTTCTACATCCATGCTGTCTTATCGAATCTCTTGTTCTATCCTCCGCACACCCCTCACTCAATCCCAACGCAAGTATCTAAAATGTATATTATAAGCGATGACGTGTGGAGAGTGGAGGGGAGGGGAGGGTGGGGATAGGGAGTCAAAGAGTATAATACAGAGGTAAAGCTGCTTAATCTTTGTCTAGTTATAACATTAAAATAATCAATGACAACTAAAGGGGTACTTGGGCGTATGTTAGAAGATTTTTGAAAATTATTTATTCATTCGATTTTATTTCTGGAAATTTTCAGCTTCTTAAACCCAATAWTAAAGATTTTTCAAAAATCCCCTAATATACTTCCAAGTACCCCTTTAATAAAATTAAATTGATAAAATAAAGATTCCAATAATATGCACCTTTTTCCTCGCTCGAGCTGACCACTCTTGGCACGTACCACAGGTATCCTACTCTAGTAACTCTTGGTCTTAATGTTGTTTCTCTAGTCCACTCTTCAACGACATAATGAACGCTGCGGTAGCGCAGCAAGTTGCGCAGCACAACTTTGCCCACCACCCCACTGCACTTCAAATCCAGGTACGCACCTTATATAGACATTGCACTGTCACGTGTGATCATCTATAATTAGAATATTCCTAATATAGTTATACTTTTTTAACTGATAAAGAATAAACCGGAGTAGCCTGGGTAACATATGTCACGCAAAAGTTGTCACGTGTCATGTCACGCGTGACGTGATAGGTTATTCTACATGTCGTGTGGATTTTTATGTTGTGACATGACACGTGACTTATCACATGATATTTTAAAAATTCGCCTTAGAGACCTCGACTATAGACATCTTGCATGTGACGTCAAAGCAGCTCAATTTGGAGGGCAAAACAAAATAATTAATCTCCTAGCTGAGAATTGGGACCTATGTTGAACTGATTTCCGACGGGCCGCAAGGGGTCTATGAGTCTCAATTTGATGATGTAAGGATTAAGGCCGATTTACACGGTACGATTTTTCCTCATAACCGGTCTTGAGTAACAAGCTGTCCACACGACTTGTTTCGTGTAAATTGACCATAAACAGCGCACGTACGTACAATTTGCTCGTGACAACTAAAATTTGGCCTAAGGATGATGCGCGCGACAGTTGAATTGAAAAAGGGGAAAAATCGGCCTTAAATCATTTGTAGCTTGGACGTTGGGTGCCGTGACCGTGTGACGGGTCGCTGTCCTGTATTGTAATTGGGCAACCAGTTATCTTACCGTTGTTTCCATTTCTAAGCGTTGATCGAGAAAACAATAGACCTGTAACTGTCGCAGTTATGGCTAGGCTATTTTACGGATCGATCGGACTAGACACTTTAGATCCCTTGATCTCTTTTAATCTTTGTCGTTAAATCAATCGTAAAACTATAATAAATCAAAAGAAATAAATCGCTAACTAATCTTACTGACAATCGTACATACATGCAATCATACAATAATCGCGATAGATCTTAAAGAAAATACAATAGTTCCTAAAATAATAATACAAGTAAAATCATACCTTGTCTAGCTGCTTGCAAACTTGAACTATGCTAAACGTGGCTCGTGTGTCCACTTACTTAACTCATATGACAGGTTAATTGTTAAATTATTACATGAATCAATTGGTCTTTGTTCTATGTAAACATATATGTCTTTCAATAATCACTTCCGATAAAACTCATGACGTCAGTCACAAGACCTATCCCGAATTCGCTTTTCGAATTTCGTGGTCAGTCAAGCGAATTCGGGATAGGTCTATTGCAACAGGAAAATCAGACAATTCATTGCCGTCAATCAGAGTATGAGAGGTAAAGAACAAATACATATATGATTAACGGTAGTTGTTGGACTTTTGCTATATCCTCCAACATGGCCGCCGTGTCTTTCGTTATTTCACTCTCTTGAGAATGACTGCAAACCAGCAATTGTCTGATTTCCCTGTCACCTCTGTGTTGTCTCGATCAGCGGTAAACATTTGTGCTTAAATTCATTTAATTTTTACCGTCCCCTATATTAATGTTGTTTAATCATTTCGTTTCAGCATCACCCCTTCTCATCAATACCATCCCCCCTACCCTCTCCTCTACATTCACCCCTACCCCCCACCCCAAGTGCCCACACTTTACAACACATGGCCGCCGCCGCAATAGTAGCAGCCAACCCTCCCTGTAGTACTTTGTTCGTCGCTAACTTGGGGAAGAATTGCACAGAGACAGAATTAATTCACTTTTTTTCAAGGTAAGAAAAACTGATGAGAAGATAATAGGCAAAATGGCCACCATGTTGGTTGATGTAACCTATAAAAAAAACTTAAAAAGAAAACAAGGACCAAATGTTTTTTTTAAAATTCAAAATGGCGGCTATGACGTCACGTGTATCTTGGGCGTAATATTTTCCCATTTCAGACCACGTGTCATTCTCTTGTGAATAAGATTCTTTGTTTCAGTTGTATCCATATTCATGTGTCTTCTCATGCACAACCGTTAAACAAAGAAATAATACTCAAGGGAATGACACGTCGTCTGAAATAAGGAAACCTTATGCCCAAGATAAAGATGTATACTAAGATCATTTCCTTGGTTTAGTACACGAAGTAAGAAAACGGTACACATTTGTTTCTATTTTTTTATTTATTTTTTATATATCTATTTTAAATAATTTATTTTTTATTTTTTATTCAAACAGATTTCCGGGTTTTATTAAACTAAAAATGCACAATAAAGGAAATTCGCCAGTTTGTTTCGTCGAGTTTATGAACGAAATAGTAGCTACTCAGGCAATGCATACGTTTCAAGGGTAAGAAGAATATTTTCCCTACGATTCCAAAAATGGTTAAAATTGAATATTTTTTTCTTGATATTTGTAAAGAAAAAATACGATGGGCAGCTTGTTACCCAACATATTTTTTCCATATATATCTCTTATTAACCGAGTGCGAGGTCCGCACCGTAAGTAAGGAGAAAATGCGATGGGCAGCTTGTAACCCAAATATTTTTTTCCATACATATCTCTTATTAACCGAGTGCAAGGTCCGCACCGTAAGTAAGGAGAAAATGCGATGGGCAGCTTGTAACTCAAATATTTTTTTCCATACATATCTCTTATTAACCGAGTGCGAGGTCCGCACCATAAGTTATGGATCGCTAACTGACTCATTATTATTATAGCTGTTCATGAAAATACCTTGCCATATAATAAAAACCCTTTTATATTCAATATCATTTCTCCCCTGTTCTACCCAAAGGAGTTTTAACTTCAACTTTTTATATTCCCAAATAAAAAGATCATTTTTGATGCTTTTTAGTCTTTTTTGCTGTAGTTTATGAATAATATAAATATTATTCAGTTCGTATTGACTTATCTTAACGTCCATTGTATTGTGTTGTTTTGTTTATCCAGGTACGTCCCACCTAATTCAGAAAAGGGAGGGATAAGAATCGAATTCGCAAAGACAAAAATGGGCGAGGTAACGAAAAGTCCAGCTATAGTGCATACCATATCATACTCGTACCCCAAGCCTTCTCATCTTTCTTGGTGACAAGGGTCTGGGTACGAGAATGATACCATATATCCGTAAAAAAGTTAACTTACAAAATCGTACAAATAAGTCCAAAGTTTTGTAGGTCTACGATCTGATAAGGACTACTGAACTTACTACCTCACCATTTTCCACACATCGGTTCACTGGTCAAACACAAAGTTAAGCATTTAGTCGAGGTTGCAAGGTTCAAAATTGAATAATCTTTTGAAAGTACCTTGGCGCCTCGATTGAGCGCTTTGTGTTTGACCAGTGAACCGATGTATGGAAAATGGTGAATTTGTGCACATTTTTGCAATTTTGACCAACGTTTTTTTAACGGATATGGTATTTGTTCTAATATTAATTAGCAGCAGGCGTAGTTCAGTTGGTTAGTACGTGGCCTTCATAGCATTAGGTCCACGGTTCAACCCCCAGGATCTCTACGTCTGCTTTGACTTCTCTGTGAATTGGGCAATCAATCTCCTCGTTATAATCTAATATTACATACTTCGACGTCCACCTTTGATTGTGCATATGACGAACTTGAATATTTTTAATATATTCTGATAATGAATTGTATTATTTATTTCAGGGATCAGCTGGTATGATTCCCACCAGAAATGATGGAGCTAGCTACTTCGTACAACCGATGCAACCGGCTTTTCCTTAATAATGGTAAGTGTTTATAGTATAGAAATACCACTGTTATGCATCCTATAAAAAACGAGCGAAAGGCATGCTCGTAAGAAAGCAGTTTTCCCATGACTGTGAAAAGCTCGGTGCCTTAAGCGTGCCGTGCCGTGACCGTGATGTTTTTTAGAATTTTGATTGGCTGGTTGTTTTCTCGCGCAAGGTGATTGGTCTGACAGTGCCGTGACCGTGTTCACGCTGTGTTTATGCCGTGTTCCGGGTATTTGATTGGAAGGAGAGTAAATTATACAACCATGCATGCGTTTGGTCTGGCATATGCCTTGCCGTGTCACGACCCTTGTGAGTGCCTTCAGCTTTGCACAGTCATATATACGAAACCTTCTCTAAGCACTACCAACAAGAAATGACACTCAAATTTTGAACGATAACCACCATTCTTTTCACTGCTACGCGCTTATCAAGACAACAGTCGCCACAATGAAATAGGACAATACACTGCCACCAATCATGATCAGAGAATATGAAGGTATCGGACAAATTTCTTTGATTGACGGAAGTATATCGCCCAATTTACCTTTCGGGACTGTTGTCTCGCGAAGCATTGAAAAGAATGGTAATTTTGAGATACTATTATGTTATCTTTAACTGATAAACTAAGGTATCTTTATGGCCACACCCTTTTCCAAGGGGTGTATTTTACGCTTTGCTGTGAGTGGTCGAAAGAGTGTATTAAGCTACGTTGTGACTAATCTAAATTTAAAACATATTGGTCTTCGCAAGCACGTACACAGCTTTTTTTATTCGTTCGATACTAAAGCAGGAGGTCTTCCCGCGCGAAAACAAATATATAATAAAAAGGTTCGTTAATGAGATAGCAAACATGGTGCATTGTGGTTTAGCTTGGGTAGCAACAACACCATATAAGGCATGATGAATTAAATAAGTTCGTACTCAAGTTAGACCACAATGCACCATGTTTGATATCTCAGTAAACGAACCTTTTTGTTATATATTTGTTTTCGCGCGGGAAAACAACTTTGTGATACAGTTATGCATTATTTTAATAACTTTTTTTTCTCTTTTTAGGTAATTAATAATTTTAATGCGACGAACATAAATTACAGAAATGAAATTGAACAATAATCTTAACTATTTACTTAGAAATTTAAAATTTTGGGGCATTTTATGCGCTCTTGTCATTAGTCTCATACATACTAAGAAACGCGATCGGTTATGGTGGTCGACTTTAAAAGGTTCGTTGTTCCTTTGAGGTCAACACACTACAGTAGTATAGCATTGATGTACAATGTAAAATGGTCGATTTTATAGCGGTCGGTTATCGAGAGGTCAACATCTTTCCGATCTTTATTCTTAAATCAGAGTGAAAAGAGATTATTACTCGGGGAAATTTTCAATAACTCTTTGGACATTCACATCAAATTATGCCGCCATATTGGATGACTAGAGGCTTTTTATTGCTCATGTCATCCAACATGGCCACCGATACCTTTATATCTCTTGTTTCACCTGCAACATCCGAGGAAAAAAGCAACAGATTTAGGAAATGCCACGGGGGGAAAAAGTAGCATCATGGACATCATACAATTAAACGAAAAGCACAAAATTCGTGAAAAAGGATACAGTTTTAACAGTTTTAATATTAAAATGTCTAACCTAGAAAGCAACGATTGCAATGCTAACTATTTGAAGTCCATAATGCTTCGTTTGACCCTCGTTTGACCCTCGTTTGACCCTCGTTTGACCCTCGTTTGACCCTCGTTTGACCTTGTGCTCTTTTGCTCTGATGGTTTTTTGTTAAACCATTTTAGGATCTCTAATTTAGTATAGAAAATTCTTCTAATTTTCTTATATTTTTTCCATAAAAATCTCTTTGTTAAAATCCCTGTCTGAAAATGACCGCCAATTATAAATAATAGAAAGACCAATTTTCCATACCACAGGAATCCCAATTACGAGAAAACGTTACAAAGAGATTTTTATGAAAGTCTTACAATTTGCATTGAGTAAAAAATATATTGCTTGTAGTTGTCGCGCAAAAGCTCACAGTGCTCGCAATACAAATATATTTGGCAAACATGAGTGATAAGCTTTGCTTATCAGTGAAGAATTGAATTTAAGTTATAAAAATGAATTAAATCAGGATCAAACGTCTCCATTATTCCTCGCGCGGTCGATGAATGTCGAAAAAGACTGGTCTTAGTCAATACAGCATACGCTATATTAGGAAAAATACACAGGTGACTTTTGAAAATCTCTAGCGCTGTTTGGTCGAGAAACTCACACTATCACACGATAATCACCTCCAGCGATAATCCAAAATGGCGACCAGCCGCTTTGTTGCTGTTTACCGGGAAAAAATGTCTTTTATCTTCCTTTTTTCCTTTTTTTTTTTATTGTTTTTTTTGAAAGAATCACTTGTGTATTTATACTAAAACGATTATTTGCCTCAGCCTCAGTGAATATCGGGAAGACTCGCGTCTCGATAAATATTCCCCGATATTCACTAATTGTTAAATATTGGATTCCAAATTTTCCCCCCAAAAATATTCGACAAGGAATATCTTTTCGAGTATTCCTGTATAGAATGAGCTGTAAAATAGTATGGAAAATGTTTGCAGTATAATTGTTTTAACTTATTCAAATGTTTTTATCTTTCGTTAGAAAAGTAGTTGGTCACGTGATTTCTGTGACAAAAACCGTGATAAAATATTCTTACAAAAAGTGGAAGTCATGTGACCGGTAGTTTTTTTTAGGTACCTTCTTTTGTAAACATAAAGTTAATAAAAATTACTTGAATTTACTTTGTCATTGCATGATATTCCTTGCATGATATTCCTTGCTTGCTTGCTTGCTTGCTTGCTTCCTTGCTTCCTTGCTTCCTTGCTTCCTTGCTTCCTTGCTTCCTTTATTCTTAGGCAGGTTTATTTTTTACTTCTTTTTCCTTTTCTACTAACCTTCTTTTTTCATTTCTTTTGATTTCATTGGTCCGTTTTCCCATCCCTTTTCTTGTTTGACAAACGAGAACGCATATCGATTTTCTGTTTCTTAACACCCTAGAGTGTTATTTATTCTCGTTCTGACGGCAGGGTATACATGAGTTCAGATCGCTGTCAATTTTGTCATCGAGAGAAAGTGAGATTCAACCTTGAATTCAAAAAGGATGTGTGACAGACAGACCACTATAGACCATAGTCTATATAGTCAGTCATTTTTTTTGTCTCAGTTTTGTTTCTTTCTTACTGACACATATAGTGTTGATAAGAGCAATCAATTTGCCCCTGTAGGGAACCTCCATCCCCCTTTTCAACCCAATTTCTTCCATTTCTATTTATAACTTTCAATCAAGCCATTTCGTTATAATGGTACAATCAAAACACACCATTAATTACTTTTTCTTTCCTTAACTATTCCTGTTACCACGGCTACCAAAAGCCTCCTTTAAAATGTCTATTTCCAACGCGTTTGTTCAATTTTATTCTTGTTTTAGTAATTTTCGTTTTGTTGAACTTCACTATATGTTCCCTTCATTATCTTCAGTATACTTCCTCACTGAGATCGATATAAAGCAAAATATTTTCAAACGGAAAATTTAATTTCCTGGTTTGAAGAATACAATTTTGTCATTGCAAGACTAATTGATTGTGGCGGATATTCGTTACTGATAATAGACTACTAGACTGAGATAGTTTTATTCGAAGTATTTGAATAAATTAAATTGCATGCGGAAGTCACAAGTTCATAGAATACCTCTTCTTCCATCTGTTCCTATATGAGATACTCATGAGGGAATACAAATTTAAAAAAAGAAAGAAAAGAAAGAAAACTCGAGAAGCTTTTCCAGATGATCTAAGAAAATTTACTGAACTGAGGTGTCACTGTTTATTTTCCTATTGAAATTATGGGTTTCCAGGCCACCAAATGGAAAAAAAACAAAAAAAAAACGTTGCTTATAAGAGGCTTATAACAGTAACACAAAAAAAATCTAGTGAGTTTTATTATATTTTTATTGCAATGATGGACAGGTTTCTATGTTTCGCTGTTCAAAATTATTGCAGGCTTCATTACAACTTAGTTTTGCAGTGAGTCCATTTCTACATCACTCTTTCAGACCAGCTGGTTTGAGTTGATAGTGGTAGTAAAATGACACCATGATGCAAACGGCCTATTTAGAAGGGACGATGACAACTGAATCTCAGGGAGAGCTTAAAAATACTGAGTCTGCTTACATACGGCTTTACAAAGTGCTTCATACTCTTTTACCACTAATCTTGTTAAGAGGAATTTTTTTTCAATAATGAGCAATAATGGCAAAAAGCGCCAAAAACTAGACTTTCGTATGAGTTTTGATCCCAATTTTCGTTTTGGGTTAACATGCAAAACCTTTTTTAAACAGTTAGAAACTGATGTACTATGATAAAATGCCTGTTTGAAGCGGTATTTTCAATTGTACAAAGATGTTTTGTTGCATTTGTGTTAGGATGTAGCTTTGTCAGGCTTTTTTATAGAAAATTTATGGGAAATAAGCAAGTGAAGACCTAAACCTCATTTCCTATTCAAATCTTTGTTTTGGGTTAACACTTTGATTCCACTTTCATCGGTCATCTCCACTTCAAACAAGTTAATCTTTCTGAAAACAAGATTTTAGCCTTGTACAACAGGCTTTCTTTAAGAAAATAGTTTTTGGCGTTCACTGCTTGAATACGAAAAGAATCTTCTCTTATATATAATCGAAAGTCAATGTGATATATACAATATTAACAAAATGAAGGGAGGAAAATTGGAATTAAAGAAGAAGCTGACGTAAAAGAAAAGAAAGAGACCAAGAAAAAATAATGAAAAATTAATTACTTACACAAGAGAGAACTCAGAGATATCGATTGATTGATTGATTGACACATGAACATGATTTAACTTCGTTTAGATATACGTTGATTTCAACTAAGCTGTAGGGCTTATGACATAGAAATGGTATGTAAACAGAAGGAAATCTGTAGCTTTCTCTCAGAATGAATGAAAGAATGAATGAATGAATGTATGTATGTATGTATGTATGAATGAATGAATGAATGAATGAATGAATGGATGGATGGATGGATGGATGGATGGATGGATGGATGGAGGGATGGATGGATGGATGGATGGATGAATGAATAAACTTTATTGTACTCAGAATTTCATCAATTCTAAAGAAACAACTGCTTTTCATGAAGGAGTGATAGAGAGAGCAAATAGAAATCGATGCTTAAATGAAAGAGCAATGCATTATTTAACAATATTTAAAGTATTTATTAAAAGTAATTATAAGTTTTTAAGAGTGTAAAAAAAAAAAAAAGCTTGAATTAAGCTGAAACGTAATCAAGTTTAAAGTCAGCTTTTTAACGATTTCTACGCAAAGAAAATAGAACACGAAATATTAAATCTACTAGAGAATATTTCATGACTTTACGGAAGTACTTATTTAAATTCATGATAACAGATTCACTGACCACAAACCACACTTCCTTGACAACAACTAAAATCATGAAAAAATCCTCAATTCAGAATTTTGCAATTCAAATGAGCATTTGAGATTATAGGTTCAATTCAGCTTTGATATTAGATACATCAAACTGAAAATCAAACAATATTTTCTAAGCCTCCTCAAATGATGGTTGAATTCAAAAATAGTTCTTTTGTATTCGGTGAATGTTTACCCTGATTGTATGCGCAGTTGAGAAACACGTAACAGCGAAGTTGAATAACTTATTGGATATTTATGTGATCAGGCGACGAGCTCTGACAGCTGCATTTGTGCCTTGAAAACGGCTTTGAACCGGCCCCAGTATCCAACAGGGACTGTAAAATTAAAGCTCCGACGCAACCCGATATTATCGGTCCCTTCTTCAAACCAAGAAACCGCCATGATCTTACGTTTCACGACAGAATAATTTTTAAAGCTCTAGTTATTGAAGACCGAAAGAGTTGATAAACGCCTTCAGACTCTAAGATTACTTAGCGTATTAAAAACAATCATTCTAGTAGCTGGAAAATGATCATGAGGTCGAATTAACGAAGTCTCTTCGCCGATTTAGAAAACATTTTCGGGAGTAGATTTCATTTCAGGATACTGAGGAAAAAAAGCGATAAAAATGGCGACGGAGAAGGAAGGAAAAGCCGAAAGCAAGGCTAAAGAGACTTCAAGTGAAGTTTCTCCGCTGGAAGCCGACGGCAAGACGGCATTACTTAGTAGAGTCAATAAAGATCTGATCGTTCCGAAGCTATCGTTCTTCTTCTACTTCATGGGAATTGGAGCGTTCCTTCCATACCTCGGAGTCTACTACAAGCAATTATGGCTCAATGCAAGAGAGACTGGTATTTTGCTTGGTATACGACCGTTTATAAAGATGCTGTTCTCGCCCGTTTGGGGGATCATCACTGACTATTTTCGCAAGCCCAAAACGATTTTGCTGCTATCAATATTTGCAAGTTTAATAGCACATTGGTCGCAGAGTATAGTCTCGCCATTCCAGTTACCTTGCTATCCTGAAAACTCCTCTTCCGTTGAAGCTAGAGGCGAACCAATTCCCGGTATCGCAAAGAGTCTAGATGTACAATTGAACACTTTAAAGAACCAGAATTTTAAACGTGAATTGAACACCTATCCTTTAAGATATCAGGTCATTACGGCTGGTGAAAGCATAGCAAGAAGCATAGGAGAAAACAAAATGGCTCCAGAGTATCGAAAGCTCGAGAAAAGATCTTCAATTTTTAAAGAAAAGGGGAGTGGAAATTTGAAAGGGGAAGATAAAAATCTTCACATTCAAGATAATAATCAAAGACAAACCAAACAGCGAGAATCTAATTTAGTGTTTTCTGGCGAGGATTTTGCTGAATTATTCGAGACTTTTGAGAACCCGGGAAAATCGACCGAAGTTCGCGAGAAGAAGGAAGAGGGAAATAGAACTTCGCCCGATAAAGATGGTCGTGTTACCGAATACGTCGAGAGCCAACCACGAACGATCATGACCAAAAACAAAAAAATAAAATCTCCAAAACCAAAAACCGACTTCAGAATCCGCGATAATAAAAAGATTTTCATCATTTTATTAGTTCTTATAATATTCGGCGAAATGGTGGCAGCGCCGGCTCCAATGTTAACAGACAGTGGAACCCTAACTTTGTTATCTGGACGCGAACACGAATATGGAAAACAGAGGCTGTTTGGATCACTGGGATGGGGAACGGGAGCGTTAGTGGCAGGAGCTGTTGTTACAGCCTTCCACTACTGTCCATACTCAGACAACATCAATTATGTGCCAATATTTTATGTATTCGCTGCGGCTATGCTGATTGATTTGTGCGTGTCCGCGTTTTTCAAGTTTGTGTCGGACAATGAAAAGGAAGTGGACTCGGATGCTAAAGGGTGTATTCTTGGGCTTAAGTTGTTTGGTAATGTGAAGAACGCAGCGTTTATCTTCGTTCTATTCTTCTGTGGACTCTCGCACAGGTAGGGAAGGACTAATACTTATTTTCTGTTGTGAATGTGTACTTTTTTTTTTACTTTAGGTGGCTGCCGACGAGAAAAAATACAGCTTCTTCCTACGCTCCCACGCAACGACGAGACACAATTATTTGAACCTACGATATGTGCGCGCACTAAAACCGCTCAAAACAGCGAATAATTTTCCTATAAGAATACATGAAAAAGAATATTTTGACAAAGTTTGGATCGAAAGAAATGACACGAGTTTTACTTATAGAAAAAGCGGTAGTTATACTTTTTTTGCAATCGTTTTAGACGAAAAATTGTCAAGGACAAGAAGCCGGAATAGAAAAATACTTTTCATTATATTTTTCAACATATTCTATTTTTTACTTATATTTGTAAAAATATGTATGTGTAACGGTTCTAGATTATCTCGAGGACTATAGTCAAGATGCGTGACGTTCAAGTTCTAGATTATCAGTTTATTCAGAGTTCAGTCAGTCAATGATTTCACAATTCCACG